ACCTGTAAACATCCTTCAACCATTTCAAATTCATTTGTCCATTACTCGGAAGTATTAAAATAAAATTTCGTCTAATCTTAGCAGTAAATATCCAAAAACACTTAACCGAAAGTATTTAATCATAAAATTCCAACGAAAAGTGTAATAACATAAATGGAGTACTTTTGCCAGATGTCTGGTATATAACACCCACAAAATAGATGTATCTTTATGCTTTATAAACGCGCAACGATCCATTTTACTTGGGTTTCCGTCTACATACCATTTATGTACCATTTTCCATACATAGACACACGGCACATTACTATTTCAATAAGCATCTACACCAATACTGGTTGCCATTATCACTATCTAGCTGACTGGGTGCATGGTTCAGTCGGATGGCACCCGGTTGCGAAATAGAACCCGACGACACGGAATCCATTCACCTGCATTCAGCGATGTCCTTTGCTGCCTCCCGTTACATTTCTTCCTATCCGGCGCATAGCTGCAATTTATGGACTCGCTTACTTCCCGCTCGGTAATGTAAGAACCGAGTGCCGGGCTATCAATAAATTCTTACTCGTAAAGCCTCGTCTTTCGGCAGTAAATACATTCTCTTCAATATTTCACTGATGGATTTTTGAATAAACTAAATCGCTTGTATAAATTTTACACTAAAGGCTTATACAGAAATAAAAAGATATGTTGGATCAAGAAAATTTTTAGGAGTTACGAATATCTTGATTCAAGGAAATTATTTTCTTGATACTGAACATTTTCATTGAAAAGTTTCAAACAATTCAATAAAGTTTAATTATTTTTCAGGAAATATTTATTTATTTTTCCAGTCTGATAGAAAAACAATCTTGATTCAAGAAACTTTTTTTCTTCAAAACTTGAATTCTTGAAACTAGATATAGATATATTTCTTTCAAGAATTTTTGTTTCTTGGTTCAAGATAGGCGATAACATTGATTCAAGATGTTTACCGACTCGTGTTAAGAATGGCTTTTTTTTGAGTCATTAATTATAATTTACTTATTTCTAAGTTGGTATAACAATTAAAGAATATTTTAACAATTAAACAAGTTGGTATAACAATTAAAGAATTAAGAAAGTTTTTGAATTATACTTTGATGAATTATTTCAAGTTTTTTAAACGATATTGTTATTTTGATTGAACAACTTAAATGTATCGATTGAAGATAATATAGCTCTTAAGCCAAGAAAATCTAAATCAAGACAAGAAATTCTTAGAGCAAGATAATCATTTGTCTTCCAAAATAAATTCTTAGATCAAGAAAATATCTCTTGAGTCAACATAAATTTTCTATCAGTGTATCAACTCTGATCAGGGATTTTTTTTTCAAGTTTATCAAAGTATATATAACTTTATAAGGTTATATCAGGCCATATCAGGACCTATTAAGAAATAATATAAAATTATATATGAACTTATCAAGCTATATCAAGTCTGATATAGGCATATCAAACTGATAAGGCTTGATATGGCCTGATATGGCCAATTTCCATATCAAGCCATATCAGGACATATCAAAAATTAAATATGGACATATCAGGTCATATCAGGCCAGATATGAATATATCAAAAATTCTTATATGGCCTTATCAAATCATATCAAGCCTGATCAGAATATTTTTTCACGGGAATCGATAATATTTTTGAAATAATATCAAAATAATAACTGGTACTGTGATTTAATCTATAAATACCTATGAATTAATCAGTCATGGCGTGCTTATATTAAATGTTAGTCGCTTCTTATCATTAATTTTAATATTTAAAACTTGAACAGTCGTCGTATGCTTAATTAAACTCTGCACTATTTTATAACTGCTATTATAGCTAAAGAACAGCTTGATTGTAAATTATGTTATTTAAAGTACAGTTCTCTTAATTCTTAGAATATGACTAAGGAGAGTCTTTTAGAAATTTTAATTTTAATGTTCAGATTGCAGAATCTAATTGATGCATTGTAAACATTTTTAATTAGATTCTATACTGTATTAAAAATATAAAGATAAAGAAAAATAAAAATAAAATAAAATAAAAGATCAAGTCAAACATAGAAATTATAGGAATGTTTTTAAATCAACTCTGGATACA